AAAAGATTAAAGATTATAATTTCTATCTATTTTATTTGGAGAACGTGGTTTGTTAAAATAAATAAACATGCTTTTTTTATGATAATACTGGTATAAGTAAATGAAGAGAACTTATTGACATTAAGACCTATCATTGTTGACCAGAGGTGGGAAATAGGCTAACTAAGTAGGCTACATACTGTATACTCAAGTACTGTAGGCCTACTTGTGATTTAGAAATAGCCTACTTGTGCTTTAGTTGAGTATTTAAATTGCATGTTACTTAGTACTTCTACCCCACTACAATTCAGAGGTAAATGGTATACTTTTACTCCACTACATTTATGTAATAGGTTACCTTTAGTTACTTACTACAGATTCTGATTAATGATGAGAAATATAATCAAGTCTTAAATCAGACTTTAGTTCCACCTGGAGTAAATTCACAAGCTACCCTACAGTATACAAAGTCATTACAACTGCACCTTTACCAGCTTTGATAACACTTTAATGATCACTAATTATAATGAAAACATGTAATATGTACTTTAAGTATATTTTTATGCTAATACTTTTGCGCTTACTTGTAACAGAGTATTCCTACATTTAGGTAGGCTACTTCTACTTTTACTTAACACTATAACCGCCAGGGGTCGCTGTAGGCTACCTAAAACCGCCAACGGGTAAAATGTCCGCTATTAGAATGCCTTGATTTTCAAGGTACAATGTTATTTTATTTATCATACTAGAACAAAGGGTTAACAGTGAGTGTTGCCACTACTCGCCATGGCATGTGCCTTGGCATTTGCAGGCATTTGCAGGCAGTGGCAGGTACTTCCGGCATCTGCCACAGATGCCACTACTTGCCGAGGCATCTGCCGCTGCTGAACGGGAATTGCCACTAGATGCCGGTGTAAGAGAAGGTTTACGGTAAGTTTGAGAAACCGGCTCGAGATACACTTTTTGTTATATTCCATGGAATGCTCTTAACATCCCGATAGCAATGAATATCTTAAGTGCTTTGACAAAAAATCCATATAAAAATGTCATCTGTGGAAGCCGTAGTACTGTAAAAAGCACGACCAATCATTTTAGCCGGCCCGGCTAAAATAACTGGATGGCCTACCTGCCTGTCAGCCTTCCATCTGTGCACAAACTTATCTCGTGCCCTCATTGGTCATGTGCGCGTTCGTGTGTGTTGGAGGAGGGGCTCTGTAAGGAAGTGGCAGATTTTTTCCGCCTGTGTATTTTCAAATTCTAGCGCACTCGAGCTGGTTTCTCCAAAATTACCTACCACACATTTAAATGCAGTTTCTAAAGCTGAAACCCTACAAGCACTGCAAAGCTGGCAAGGGGAGACGGATGAGGATGACTCACCACCATACGAGCTCTTCACCTTTGCATTTGACCAAAGAAAGGACTATGAAACGATCTGCCAAGAACTAGTTACAGTCAAGCATAACAAATTGTTCGCCAGTATCCAAACACAATAAAAGGGTTGGTTAAAAAAACATGAATTGTGTCTTGCTTTTTTACGTTGGTTTAGATTCACTGATATCAATATCAAATAAGAATCATCTGAAGCACTTAAATAAAAATGTTTAATCAGAATTAAAATATTAAACAACAAAACAGATACAATGACATTAATCTGTTTATTAACAGCAAAAATAATACAAATTAAGTACATATGCCTACATTTAAAATAACACATTTATACATGTGTACAATCAAATATAACTGTCCTTTGCCTCATTTATAAAGTATAAACCTTAGCATCTCACTAGCAGTGGCAACTGCAAGATACAGCTGCCCTAAGTCTGTAGCCAAGTCTAATAACACCAGTGTATACGTTGCTGTGTCAATACAGATATTTATTTGTTAATTATTTGTATTACTAGTAATAATACACCTGGTTTATCCGTAGCAAGCAGTGGGAAACTCCCCCTTGGCAGTCTCAGGCCTAAGGGCTTGCGTTGCAACCCTCACTCGCCAATATTTCTTTTTTTATTACAATATATTTTTAGTAGCCTACTATCATAAATATAGCAAGTTTGTTTATTTTTGCAAACCACGTTCTCCAAGTAAAATTGAATCGAAATTATAATTTACAAACGTTTTGAAAAATAGAGATCGCGCATCAGTCCTGTGTACAGATCAATTCGATAAAGTCATGCCTAAACAGCGACATTTTACTCGATAAATACGGGTTTAAACAGCAGCATTTGCCACGGAAGGCGAGTGGCAGCTACCGTAAACCTTCTCTTACCCCGGTATCTTGTGGCAACTCCCGCTCAGCAGCGGCAGATGCCTCGGCAAGTAGTGGCATCTGTGGCAGATGCCGGAAGTACTTGCCATTGCCTGCAGATTTCACGAAATGAGCCAGGCCCTACTGGATATTCTTCAGGTAACGAGAATCTGCTGGAATTTTAAAAAGCAACTGATGACATAAGATTACTATATAAAAGTGATCATGGTAATGATATTTAAACAGGTGACACTAATGCAGGCTCAAGCCCAGGGGCCAAGCCGCTGTGGCTTTTCAGTCCTCAAAGCAAACAAAAGCATTTTACTCTGGATTCATGGTGTATAAAATGACAAGGGGGCTTCTACGTAAATCTGGCAGGGAAGATGCCCCCCCCTGTAATTGTGGCCAGAATGTTCATAATCTCACAAAAATCCCACTTGTGTAAATTATTCTCCTTTAGTTTAAGCAAACAAAAAAATGTACGCTGAATTTATCCGCTGAAAAATGCTTCTAAATCTGACAGAGCTGGTGTTATGGCTGCCAAATTTGGCAAATACTAAGACTCTTGATCGCAGATAACAGAAAGATATCACAAAATACTGAAATCGTTATTCCTTAGCAAAGGCACAAATCGTCAGATATTTTAAGCTGTGTTGGTGTGTTATTAAAGAAAGAATTTCTACATAAACATTGCGATAACATTAAACCACACATAGTCTTTTCTAGAGTCTAACCAAAGAGTCTAACCAAATCTTCTAAATCTTTATGGTCTTACTTGACACAGAACTCCTAATATCTGGATAATATGTATGTTATGTATGGCCAAATCATGGTCTAAATCATCACTGACGGGATTGAGCATCGTGACGTGATGATTTAGCTCAACTTGTCAACATAACGGATAAACAAATGAGCAGCAGTGTATTTTACCTCCTTTTCCATGTGTAAGCCCTCTGCACGGATGTTCCGCTCAAATATCTCCCTCTTCTCTGACTGCGAGCTAGACTTCCTGTAAACCAGGATGTAGTCAATGCGACTCTTTCCATCGCTGAAGCAAAGACAGCTGGACTTACTCCTCCCCTGACGGATAGACGCATCAAGGACACACAGTCAATAAGGAACAATTAGTAACTGGCCATTGGCTCCTCCACCTTTACACACATCATTACACACTATAGAGTTCTTCTGTCCAGCTTCCCTACCCCACTGACCTCTGGGAGGCACGAGTCCGACTTGGTGTTGTTGTCCAGGATGCTGCTGTTGGTGTCCGGGTTGAGCAGGGTGGAGTCGTCGTCTCTGGACAGGCTGCTGATGCCCTCTGACCTTTTTCTCTCAAGAAGCACATTAACATTCTTCACAGCTGGAGGCAAGATTAGCAGAGAGAAAGTTAGAATACACAGTTACTACTTGTGTATTTTCATTAGTGTATATGGTGGACACTTTTCAATCCCCTGGACGTTATTTAAGGCATTTATCCCTCACAGTCCTTTGAAAAGTACATATTTTATCCACGCCATTTGTATACATATATCTAAATAAACAAACGTTTTGAGTTGGTGTGTGCGAGAAAAACTTTCATTTTTGCCGCTGCTTTTAATTGAACTATGTACTACACTGTAACTTGTATTATTCATGTTTTATTATCTTTGGTTTTTAATGTTTATAATGTTTTTCCGCTGCACTATCTCTTCATGATCTTAATATCTTTCATTTTTGTAAAGCACTTTGAATTGCCTTGTGTTTTAAGGTGCTATATAAATAAACTTGCCTTGCCTTGCTTAGAGAGAGAGAGAGAGAGAGAGAGAGAGAGAGAGAGAGAGAGAGAGAGAGAGGCATATCTAGCGTCTTATAAGACTTCTTCTTTGTATTTTGATTGCTTTGTCAAAACTGTTACTTAAAACCTTAACCAGGTGGTTCTCACCAAGGGGAGGCTCATCAATTTGAGTGCTGGAGTCCGTGGCTTTAGACGAGGATTCCTCCATGATGTCTGCCCCCCCACAGAAGGGGAAGGCCAGAGGTCTGTCCGCAGCCTGGTAGCCTGAGGCCAGAGGCTGCAGCGGGACCCTGCGTCGGCGGTGGCTCCTCTTCCGGGGCTCAGACTCATGTAGAGATAAACTCACACCTATAGGAAACACAAAACCTTTATAACACTATGTTTTTGCCACACCTGTAACTCATCTCACATACTACTGGACCCATCAGCCTAATATTTATTATGCTTATTTTTGACTGTGTGCGGCATGACCACTCGTGAGTCACTGTCTTGATCAGCCTACCATTTTATAAGAGCAGTGTGGTTGAGCATTACAGATGAATTTTACCGTCAAACTTTACTGTTAGATACTCAAAGAAGTTCATTAGTCATGGGTAAGTTAGGTCGTAACCATTCACACAACATTTTAGTTCAGGTCCGGATTACTTCTTGAAATCAATCCAGTGTTAACAAATAAACTGCCTGGAAGATTTCCTGGTTTTTATGAGCTTAGGGTCAAAGTCAATTTTTGTTAAAGCCAAAAAAAAGGTTTGGTTGCACCTATCATTTTCCCAACCCTTCAGGGTGATACCTCTCCCAGTTATGACGACGGGTTCATTCCGGTTTTCCAAGGATTCAGGAATAGAGAGAATAAGAGAGATTATGTGAGACAGTAAGATCTGTGAAAATCACAGAGGGAAGACCAAAGAAAAACTGAAATTGACAGCTCAGTTACGTGTATTCCTTATTATGGGGATTTACGATTAAATACTTTGAAAATACATTCTCCACAGGAACACAAAAGCTAATTCGGTCTATTTATCATCTACTGTAGGAAGTGTCGTTAAGGTTGGGGGACATACATTCTCCATCTTAATATCTCCATCACTCACTCTCTGGAGAGCTTCTGTAGAGGTGGGAGGACTGTGTGCTGATTTTTACTTTGTGACATGAAAAGTTGACTCAGCTAAATCTTTCTGCTGAGCCGTAGAACCGGGGACAGAGGTTGTGGAAGCGTCCTTGGCTCCAATTAGCCATTGATGCTTGGGAACATTGGAGCCCGTGGATGCAGCTAACAGAAACACAATACGATTAACTGACAACACACAAACCGGAAAAAACGCGATGAAAGCGACATGTAAATCACAAGAGCATACCCTGCTTTATGGTCTATTTTACTTGAAAGGGGACTTCAGAACCAGTTAGTAAATTCCCCTCCCCATATTCAAGACGCATGTTTCCTCAGGACACACAGCGGTCTTCTTAACGGGATACATAACATCTTACTATAATGTTGTCCCTCAAATACTGAAACACCATATATGAGCCTACAACCTGCTGTACCAAGACAGTGGCCAGTAAAACAATGTGACCATCAAACTGTAACCACCCTGTTGTAAGACTATAACCAGAGCCAAAACTCAGGTGGGGGGGAGGCTTTGGCAGCACACAGCCGCTTGCTCTCACCGCTTTAGTAGAACAAGGACTAAACAAAGTGAGATGGCTGTCCTGACATAGCCAAAAATGCATATTAATGCTACGTCACACAATTTTGTCCCTTCTTAGTTTGTTATTTAGAGGCAGATAATAACTCCACAAACCACACGATTGCACATTCAACAGGCCTACATGACTTAATGGAAAGACAGGGCTCTAATTTTTCAGTCTGTGTTTTTCTGTATGATACACAGTGCTCAGACATACGTTACATTAAAGTGGACCTATCATGCTATATTTGAATAATATAGTGTAGGACCATACCTATATAAGGCATATTTATACTTTTTATTCAAAATATTCTATATACAGGGGTCATGCATTTTAGCCATTCCTCATTTCGCTCAATTTAACACTGTCTGGTTGCAGGGCCCTCTGATTCTGTGGAAAACGAGCACCATCTACAGGCCTGGCAGAGTACTACAGCGTCTCCAGCTTCTCGAACGCGGCAATGTCCGTGGCTGTCTCTCCTGGTTGGTGGAGTTGGGCCAACCCGGAGCCGATTAGGCGCCCACCTGTCTGTACGTCAGTTAGAAGGTGTCTCTCAAATCTGGATCAGTCTGGGCAGTTCGCCTCCGTTGCGCCCCTTTTTTAAGAGATTTGGGGTATGGAGGGAGAATAGAGACGGGTTGGCGGGGTGGCTTTTCTGACACTTGGTTGAGTTTCCCTGCGAACACCGGGGGAACAATATTTCATGTATGAAAAGACGTACCGGCTAGACATTTTGGTCATGACG